ATGCATAGGGTTAGGATCTATGAATAATTTTAACATAATAATTTAAAGTGTTGTTAAAGTTTTTAAAATTAGAATTGTGATTTTATAAGTTTATCAAAAGTAGTCTTTTTACACACAAAATTCAATAATAATAATTTTTTTAGAATTTATCAATTTAAAGATCATTTTTGCCCAAAATTCAAGTGTCATATCCACATGTCCCATTAGTTTTAAAAATTGGACTGGTTTTCACACGTGTCCCTAGCTCATAGAAACCAAGCAGCGAGCAAAATCTAATTTGTAGCTACAAAATTCAGTAATACTCCTCTACCTACGATGGACACGTGTTAATATGTCCATCGCTTATGTGGCATGCATACATTAGAGATGCACTACTTTGAACATATTAACATCATCAATGTATGCATGCTACATAAGCGGTTGACATATTAACATGTATCCACCGTAGGTAGGGGAGCATCTCCCACAAAATCCAATGTTTTAAAACTAATTAGCAAATACCCATATTTTATTATGTTCAGCACTAAGATAATGAGAAGGCAACTAAAGACTTTTGGGGAGTGATTGTTTACAAAATAATTTACTCACTTTTATCTCAACTCAAAATCTAATTCAACTTTAACCCAACCCCACTATCTTTAATATTATTCACATAATTAAATAATACAAAACAATCATTCTTACACATCACATCAACTTTAATTCACTATTCATCCACTCACATAATTTTAACTACCTATCATTTCCAATCATTTATCTCTTACTTTTACATCAAATCAACTTTAATTATTTTATTTTAAATATTATTTTAATATATTCTTAAAATTTCACTACAACTAACCATACCACATTTTTCAAAATTAACTATAGTTAACCAAAATAACTCAATTTGAACAAATTATTTCATAAACAATCAACCTTTTGATTTTTATATAGGGAATCACCAAACTAAAATGCTGCTAAAACAGTATTTTTTAATTTGGCCGATGAGCATAAAAAAATTATTTGTAACAGCTATTTATCAAACACATTTTTTAGCTGTTTACAAATGTAAACAACTAATAGGAAAAAAAAGCTCTTTTCAGAACAAAGCCATTTAACAAAACACAGTCAATGGATAAGGACAAACTAATATTTTTCTAATTCTAATAATTTCATTGGAAGATTCTAGTGTTACTATAGAGTACATCCACTTTATAAATAACCTACTCCATATTTATTGTGAATTGTTAATATGTTCTTCTAGATTTTTTTTTTTCACACAGTATCGAAGGAGAATTTCAAGCTTGACAAATACGTCTGTCATGGCGTCTTATTCTTAGTTAGCTTCCACTTATATGGAAAGAGTACTCCAAACCCCAAAGGGTCGCATAGTAAATAAATAAATTAGTTACAAAAAAACTCTTTCCATTATTGTTAAGGTGGGCACCAGACTTATTTGTCAGGCTTGTGATTCTCCTCTGATAGGTGTGAAATGTCAGTCGGCGGTCATGTCGGATCTACTCGCTCCGGAGCCGGAGTAACGGCTCGCGGCCGGATCTGAGGCTTGCCGTCGGCTCACTGAGTATGATTGACGAGAAAGCCCTTTCCCGATTTGGTGAATTTCGGGAGCTAGGGTTTTGGGTTCATTTCTTCGAAGGTGCATGCTTTTAGCTTGAATTTGCAAATTAACGAGGTTGAATCAAACCTTTTATTTTGATTCGTGTTTTTAGCTTGAATTTGTATGTGTTTGATTTAGTATATTGTTGCTGATTTGCCTTATTAGCTTTTGATTTGGTGCAATTTTTTTTTATTTTTTTATTTTTTGGTTGTGATTTTATTTGCAATTCGTAGGTTTCAAGTTATTGTGGGACTGATAATGATGAACATAAATGCAGTTTGCCCGTGCTACTGAATGATTTGTGTGCTGTGAAACCAGCTGAACTTGCTCTGGATTTTGATTTCATTCTTTTTGATAAGTTTATGAGATTAATGGCTTCTACTGGTATATCCATATGTTAGTTGTTTAGTCTTTTGGGAGCATTTTTTTCGATTTTCTTCTCTTTCTACATAGGTCATTTTGTGAGCCTTGGTGAAGAGCCTAAGATAGTGAAACTGGCTTTGGTATGTAGAGTTGATGATTATCTTTGAATGAGCAAGATTACCCTTATATGCTCCGCTTGATATCCGTTCTGTCTCATGTGTTTGCCGTGGTCTAGGTTGTGTTTGCTAAGCATATAACCTTAGTTAACTTATATGCATATGGAAAAACCCCAAAATCTAGCTCAAGTTTAACCTGTATATGGAAAAACCCAATTCATACTCTATTCATATTCAAAATTTAATTTAAGTTTAACCCAACTCCACTATCCTCAATATCATTAATACACATCACATCAACTTTAATCTACTATTCATCCACTCACATAATTTTAACTAACTATCATTTCACCGGTTTTGCTATGAAGCCAACAGTTGACTCCATAGTGGTGAAAACCTTCTATATACAACAAGTAAACTTACTGTGTTAATAAAATTATATTAGTTTTATTTAACTAGTCAGCTAATATAGTAAGTTTACTTGTTGTTGACGAGGTTTGGAACCCTAGCCGTCGGACAAAGATTCTTATCCGCGGATCTTATAGAAGGTTGGCTCCACTATGGAGCCAACTGTTGGCTTCATAGCAAAATCGATCATTTCACATCATCTCTCATACTTTTACATCAAATCAACTTCAATTATTTTATTTCAAATATTATTTTTCATATAAAACTAATATTTCACTAACAACTAATCATACCACTTTTTTTTCAAAATCAATTATAGGTAACCAAAAAAAAAAAAAAAAACATCATATATATTTATATACAAATACGCCCTAAATTTACTGTATTCAAATAAGTTTGGTTTGATAAGACGAGATTTTTTAAAACGTTCGAGCTTAATTTATAAGCTATCTTGAATAGCTTTTCAAATAAGCCAGTTGAAAATTTTTACAGATAAGCTAATTTTACAAAACATTTTTATCATATAAGTTAGTTTTTCGGTCATAAGCTATCATCTATAAGCTCGAAATTCACTTAAAAGCTATAAGCTACATTTTCAACTATAAGCTAACTTATCATCGGCTAGATTTACCAAACAAAACCGTAATCATTTGGTTTCCATAGTTTGAACATCTAGGATTAAACTTCTTGAAGATTGTAAAATCTTCAAATGATTTTTCCCTTGCACTCCTTTCTATAGCCAGATTTTGTTCCTCAATGAGATTAACTTTCATGATCAATTGAATGCTTGAAGTTTAACTATGAAATGTCATGGCCATCTTTAAAAAATTCAATACCCCTCAATAATTGTTTCTGTTCTTGGTAGCGGGTGTTTGTTCTGAGAACCTAAAAGGCGAATTTTTAAGTGTGGCATATGTTTTGTTCTTTAGTTAGATTAACATATACTTTGGATTTGCCGAGTTTCTGCAAAGTATATGAAAAACAAGTTGTGTCTTGCAGGGACTCTTTGTGAGTAAGGCAAGTTGAATTGTAGAAGGTTCTGTAGGCAGTGAAAATTTGAGGACAGAAGCAAAAGATGTTATTTTCCCATAAATTCAGACAGTCTGTTACGTGAGAGCCGGATGAAGCCTAAGGGCGTGCTTGGATACAAATATATTTGTTCGAAACGAGTTTTTATTTTTATTTTATTTTATTTTTATTTTTTTAAACCAAGGTTAATTTTGAAAAAAAAAAAAATGATATGTCAATTTTTAGTGGAATTTTGAGTTTATAGTAATATAATATTTAAAATAAAATATTTAAAATTAATTTGATGGAATAATAGGAGAGATGATGTGAAGTGATACAACAACAACAACAACAACATATCAGTATATTCCCAACTGGTTGGAGTCTGGGGGTCAGTTGTACGCAGACCTTACCCTTGTAATTATACAAGGAAACTGTTTTCGTAGCAACCTAAGGGCGTGCTTGGATACAAATATATTTTCGAAACGAGTTTTTATTTTTATTTTTATTTTTTTAAACCAAGGTTAATTTTGAAAAAAAAATGATATGTCAATTTTTAGTGGAATTTTGAGTTTATAGTAATATAATATTTAAAATAAAATATTTAAAATTAATTTGATGGAATAATAGGAGAGATGATGTGAAGTGATACAACAACAACAACATATCAGTATATTCTCAACTGGTTGGAGTCTGGGGGTCAGTTGTACGCAGACCTTACCCTTGTAATTATACAAGGAGACTGTTTTCGTAGCAACCAAAGGTACATTGCATCGTTTGATATATTTTTTTTTAGAAACTTCACTAATAGAAGAAACACTAGTATTTAATTGAGCCATTTTGATAGTAAATTAAAGTGATGTGATATGTAAGAATGATTGATATTTTATGATAGCATAGTTGAGTTAAAGTTGAGATTTTGAGTATGGATTGAATATGGATTGAGTTAGGTCATAAACAAACACAATCTAATTGCAATTGCCCGCCTTCAGCCAATGGTGGATACGAGTTAATATGTTCATGTAGCAGGAGATTAATATATTATACGAAGACTATGGGATTTTGAAATGACACATATTAATTTGCTCGTGATGGTTATGTGAGCAATTTCAGAAGTTTAGATTGGACTCAATTCACATGAAAATGCGATAATCATTCATTCCATCTTCTCCTCCTTCCTTCTATGACACGAATTTTGAAATGGAGACCAGTCATGACTAGTGTTGTTAAATTAAATGAGTCTGACTTGACTCGAGCTCGACGAGTAATGCTATAAAACCAACTTGAGTTACAACTTGGGTTACAACACCATTGTAAATGCATTATTTAATAATTTCTTGATAATACATTTACACTTGGGTTGTAATACAAGTTGCCACCCAAATTGGCCAAATAGCATTATTTTATTTATTTATTTTTTTTTATGTTACACATCTCCTGATAATTGTCTGATTAATTCACGCACACATATAAACATTAAATTAATACGAATAACTCGACCTGTCTCACTTCTTCGGTTCTTCACTTGCCAACGGCGGAGGCTTTGTGGAGACGCCGCCGTCGATGCAGCTTCGACAGCTTCTTTCCACCCATCCTTCCACATCGCGATCCTCCAAGTGCCGGCCGCCACATAGTTGGGCGATTATTCCTGCAAAGACGCCGAGTATGGTGATGACGGCCAGCACCACCACAAGCATCTCGATCGAGCGGTGAGTTGCCGAGATTCCGCTGGAATCCGCCCCCATTACAACCGCCGCCGGTGAGGAGCTCACTAGCGGCGGCAGCTGGTTGGTCTGAGCCATTTTGAGGTGTCAAAAAAGAGAAATTTTGAAAACTAGTATTCAAGTATGAAACTTGATAAGAAATATTTCAAGATTTTTTTTTTTTTTTTTT